GGGGCTGGTCCCGCCGTGTCCGTGGGGCCGGAGCGGGGCCGTGGGTGCAGCGTGTCCATGGGGCAGGGCCGTGGGTGCAGCTGTGTCTGTGGGGCCGGAGCGGGGCCGTGGGTGCAGCGTGTGCGTGCGGCAGGGCATGGGGCCGGTCCCGCCGTGTCCATGGGGCCGGGTGGGGCCGTGGGTGCAGCGTGTCCATGGGTCAGGGCCGTGGGTGCAGCTGTGTCCGTGGGGCCGGAGCAGGACCGTGGGTGCGGTGTGTCCATGGGTCAGGGCTGTGGGTCCCGCTGTGTCCGTGGGGCCGTGGGTGCAGCGTGTGCGTGCGGCAGGGCATGGGGCCGGTCCCGCCGTGTCCGTGGGGCCGGAGCGGGGCCGTGGGTGCAGCGTGTGCGCGCGGCAGGGCCCATGCGGCTGCGGGCGGCCCCGCGGCGCTGCCCGGCGCTGTGGCGCTCGCTGCGCTGCCCGCGGGACGAGCTGCGCCTCGACCTGGTGCTCAGCAGCGGCCAGAGCTTCCGGTGAGGCTGGGGGGCGGCCGGGGGGCGGCCGGGGGGCTGCCCCACGCGGGGCCGCTCACGGCGCCGCCGCAGCTGGCGGGAGAGCAGCCCCGGCTGCTGGACGGGCGTCCTGGCCGGCCGCGTGTGGACGCTGACGCAGGACGAGGAGCGTCTCTGGTACACGGTGTACGGCGAGGAGGACGATGGCGACGCCGAGGAGGACGAGGGTGACGGTGAAGAGGATGAAGGTGATGGTGAAGAGGATGAAGGCGCAGGTGACAAGGACAAGGCTGCAGAGCGGCGCCCCGGCCCCACGGAGCCGCCGGCGCCGCTGGGCGCGCACACGGACGCCATCCTGCGCGACTACTTCCAGCTGGACGTGGGGCTGCGCGCGCTGTACCGCGCCTGGGGGGCGGCCGACCCCCACTTCCAGGCGGTGGCCGCCGCGTTCCCAGGTGAGCCGCGCGGGTCGGGACGGGTCAGGACGGGACGCGTCCGCGCGGGCGGCCCTGGCAGCGCTGCCGCGCAGGCGTGCGGGTGCTGCGGCAGGAGCCCGTCGAGTGCCTGCTCTCCTTCATCTGCACCTCCAACAACCACGTGGCGCGCGTGGCCGCCATGATCGAGCGCCTGTGCCGGGCCTTCGGGCGCCGCCTGTGCCGCGTGGGCGCGCGCCCCTTCCAC